CGGAAAAACTTTCTGAAATATTGAGAGACTCTAGAGAGACTTTCAGTGTTCGATGCGAATGCTGTACGATCTCCGTTTTTCCAATTCCGTTCCTATCTCTATACCCTTCCGCCGCAAAAGAAGATGGACTGTCATCTCTGTTTAAGTCTCTATTCAACAGCACTGATCGTTAAAGTTAAATTAACTACTTGTATGCAGTTTAGACGATTTTCTAGCGAAAATAGAAAGATCGCTCAATAAAATCAAATTGACTTATTCGATCATCGCAGTTCAAAGGAGATGCGATAAACTCTATTTAATGTATATATGAATTTGTAGATCTAGTTTTCACACTGTCTTTTATTTTTCTCCAACTTTATCATATACATTAAATAATTACATCGAAGAATACACAAAATGAACATTTGAAACCGTTATAATTCTCCATCACAAAAAGAGAAATTGAAATGTATACGTTTGAAAATTTATCGTGCATGAAATGCAATTCATTTGTATTCATTGGTAATATCGAGAATTCAATCAAGACTCCATCGAAATTTGTAACTTGTAACCAAGAACTCACAAACTATTTCCTACAAGAACTCGTGCGAAACATGCTCTAAAGGGACGCTATATAGTTCTCCAAAGCTCAGAGCACTTCCCACGAATGTCAGAGACTTTTCCTATTATCGGACATTCTCTAATGTTAATGTGTCTTTCCCACCGGTATTCGGCTGTAAACTTAACGTATTTTCGTCGTGACTTAAAACCTATCGAACTTTCCTCGTTACGTCAGATTTCATCGACAGTTAAACGACGTCAGTAGGATGGAATGGCATGAGAATGAGACTCTGCACTGAGATCGCGGAAACCTTTTACGCGTAATTGCTGATGGAATCGTGAAAATAACAAAACAAATTTCAAAATTAGACATAGATCTTTCCATGATTGTAAATTTGTCATTTATATTATAATATTAAAGCGTTAATTAATTTTATAATACGATACATAGTAATATCATTAAAAAACAGTAAAGGCGACTAAAAAGTAATTAATACTGAATTTAATTTTTAATTATTTATTCACTCAATTGAAATAACAAACACAAAATAGATTGATAATTACATCAAGTTAAACCTTCCTTAAAATATTTCTCTCAATTAATAACATTCATTAAATATTTCGTCGTACATTAACCTTTTGGATAAAAATATCAATTACTTGTTGATAATTTCCAGAATTTATTTTTATTATTCAAATAATTTGTTCTTCCGGGATTATAATTCTGATTAATTATAATTTCAAAATAAAAATCAAGATATTTCACACAATGTATCTAGTCTGTTGTTACGTATTGAAATAATAATGTATTACAATTTCTATATTATACTTTATATTATAATATAGGTAATTTCTTTATATTCAAATGCTGTTTTCTAATATTCTTTTAAGCTAATTTAAAGAATCTTTTGAATATCGCGTCAATGTAGAACTGATGAGAACAGGTTTTTTTCGATCAGAAGCTCTGCAAACAATCTTAAATTATATATTTTACATCACAAAAATCAATTCGAATGAAAGGAACACAAACGCAAAATATCTGATACATAAAAATTTTAGACAGCCCGATGCATTAGTTTGCACCATGGAGATTTTATTCGGCAGATATGCTGGTGATCAAGAATTTCCGCGCCGGACGGAGATGGTAAAACTGAACCGTGAGCAAACAGTAATATGGGCGGTTTTACGCTAGGAGAAACGGACAGTGTGGCGACTGTTGGTGTGCATCGAGGAAATCCAGAAAAATCGCTTTCTCTTTTGTACCAGCGCGGTCCACAATGTGGATAAAAATACGATGAACGTGCAATTTCGCCTTCATACTCGCCTTTGTAGTAACCACTTCATACCTTTTCCATTTACCACACATTGCTATTCTCATTCCTCCCAAAAAAAAAGTTTCTCCCTTGAAAATAAAAATTCGCTTAGTACACAATATATTTCGAATTGATGTATTGATGAACTATTTTTTCGATCGCGTTGTCTGACGATACAAATAATTTGCATAAAATTCTTTAAATTATTTATTAAATTATTAGTTCTACTTGTATCTGCTTTTTAGTATTAGAATCGTTTAATCTTGGTGAAAAAAGTTTTCCTTTCTGTCATAAAGACGGCTAAATAGAGAAAGGAGAGAAAGAAGAAAAGAAAGAAATTTATTATATTCATTTTATTGAACGTAGACTATCGATTTGGTAAAGTTGTCGAGAAGTTGATAAATAAACTTTAGTTTTTACTTTTTCTCATCTTTCTTATATTTTTCTTCATAAAGTCGCAACATCTAACTGATTGTGAGATAAGCTGATTCAACAACATCAAACATATCTAATAATTGTCGGATGTTCAGTATACGTAAAAATTTTAATTCATCTGAAAACTTCTTTTGGGACGACAAGGATAAATGTAAAACGAAAAAAAAAATCAATTGCGATATATCAATGTCGTACAACAACCGCAAAAGGCATCCGCGAAATCCGGACGAGACCGTGTTTTTGCGAACGTTCCCTTTTGCTCGCGAGACGCAAAATTGCGGAATGTACGCTGCGGCCTGGTTCTCTTATTGCGTCGCGCGGAAAATATATATACGTTCCGGTAGAAAAGTAAGTAGTTTCGTTTAAAGCAGTAGTTCTCCATTTTTATTTCTAGTTCTCTCTCTCTCTCTCTCTCTCTCTCTTTCTCTCATTCTCCTTTTTTTGCTTTTAAGCTTTTTAGGTCACAGATTTCTTAAATCATAAAGATCATTTTAGAATGTGAATAAAAGAATGAGTTGAAGGTACGCACGATGCTTCTAAAAGTTCGTTTTGTTTCTCTAAATATTAAATAAGAGCAACATTTCATGCAAACTATGAAGAACGTGTTATTAAATAATGTTTCACTTCTATTTTTGCCCTAACGTACCTATTTTTCAATGAATTTTTTTTTTAAATGATCTCTGCTAGTCAACGGTCGGCACTAGAAGCCCATTTAAAGCAGAGGGATGAATCCCATTGAAATAACAATCGCGCAATGAGGTGCTAACTCGAACGCCCGTTAAACTTTTCAAAATACGGTATAGTAGGCGCATTGGACTGAAGTGCAGCAAGGGTAAGGGAACAATAACGACATTGTTCGCTTTCGGTACGCGAAGACCCAGCGCGTGCAATCTGCGGGCCTGGCATTGTCTCGTTAATTAAACGGATAAGCCATTGCGAGTCGACGGCGGCGACGGCAACTAACGGCGACGATGCAGACCATCGGGAGTTGACGCTAAGGGAAGCAAACGCGAACGAACGAACGAACGAACGAGAGAACGAGCGAACGAACGGCACCACTCGACGCGTTGCACAAAGCGACGGAAACGTTTGACGGGGTTGACGGACGTAGCCGGAGATAACAAAGTTGGTGGCGCGATGGTAACGTCGAGCCGGCCGGCAGAGAGGCTGACGGAGAGAAGACTTCAAAGCTGAGGAGGACGGAATCATGTGGGAAGAACAGAATAAACGTCTATTCACATACATTGCCACCCAGGGATCCAGTCTCCCAACATACACATACTGACTTCTACAAATATACGCAACGTTTCACTGTCATTCGATTTATATTTGATCAATAAAAAGCAACGTGCGTAAGCGCCGGGTTGGATAAATTTTTTAAAACCGATCGTTTTACCGCGCAGCTGTTACTTCATTTTCCAGTTCGATTCAAAAATAAATGGCAATGGAAATGTAAGATAGAAAAATGTAGCTTATATCAAGAGAAAAATCTCTATTAAAATAAATATTTTTATCCACAAAGATGTGATGTCAAACCTGTACGAGAAAATATTTGAAGAAAATCTTGCGAATTATTCGAGATGTTATTTGATTTAATTGAATTAATCGAATCAAATCAATCTAATAAAAGTTGAAGAGATATGTAGACGAAGAATTGATATTTTGAGTATTTAAACGGCGCTCTAATTATTTAACTTTTTAAAATAAAATATTGCTTAATTTAATTTTCTATACCATACATTTTATATAATGTGTATCGTAATAGTGAGATTGCATCTCACATTTAAAACATTGTTAGCTAATGAATGAATATACGCAAATTTAATCTCGACTTAACATGTTATTTATTTTTCCATCGAATACTTCATAAAATGTAAAGATTTTGAAACTACAATTTTCATGTATTATATTTTTATGAATTTTTAAAGAACTTGTTTCATCACCTATAACTAACATCTTATATTTAATTATTTGATAATATAAGCAAAGTCTACAACATTGTATTTAATAAAGAAACATTTGTTTAAAAATGTAAGTTGGAAAAGATTTGATTTAATAGTACCTATGTATTTAATGTAGAGAAATTATAGAGGTATTTTGTAATTATAATGCGTAACAATTATAATACATTATGAATTTTGTGACAATTAGTGGTAGCATAATTAATTAACAGTTGACATCTCTGTTGTGAAATCATATCATTACAAATTAGCACTAAAAATCCAAACTCGTATTAGTAATTAATAGCGATACGAAGAAATAGCGCCAAATGAATAATGAACTAACGTTGACGTATCAATATAAACAATTTATTCAAATATGAAAAATCAAATTAATTTCGCAAACCGCATGTTTCGGATAACAAAGCATCTTTCATCAGCGGCGAAAGAGAAGAATTTAGAATTATCTATCAAAAATGATCATTACAAATGTCATACTTTTCTTCACAAGGTTACAGTTTTACAAAGAATAATATGATATTTGAATAAATCTCAGGTATCGCATTAAATAAGCTAAGTAAAAACATTATATGAAAAAGAGGAAGAGAGAGAAATATCTACAAGAATTAAAGATACATATAATGTTTCGCAATTACATAGCGCTTGATTTATATTTTCTATATGATAAATATATAATATATTTACTTGGGTACACGCCTCCCAGGTTACGTGTTCAAATGGGAAGCATTGAAAGTATTTTCTCTTATTGCAGTTGCATCTCCTCCTTCCTCAAGAGATCTCCGTATGACCGAGTAACGAAATATGCACGAGATAGAAGAATAGGTAGAACAAGACTGGCTGGTCCCGCGGGAAGACGAACTACGCTGTCAAACCTCCGATCAATTTTTCACTCACGTAATTCCTTCGCTATACAATTTTCCGATATGTGTACTACTTGCTGTGTTGAACCTGCCAGCGTCGCAGGAGACCAGATCGGGGTTTTAAAATTCTCTTCCGTTCAAACGCATCCTTGCTCTTCCTTCTCGTTCTATTGTGCAATAATTGAAGAGTGGACATGACACGATATATTAATAAACAAAAAGATCGCCGATTGAAATAAGAAATAAATTTCAATAACATATTGTAAAATAGTCAATCACGGAACACCTTCCTTTCTAAGATTGTAATTCTGAGAACATAAAGGATAGAGAAGAATATCTCTAAATTATTATAGCTATTATAGGCAATTCACCAGCACGTAGAAAATTCGATTTAAATTAAAAATATACTTTCTTCTTCGTAATAAATTCTCTAATTTTCTTCATAATGATTCTTCCTTCTTGAGATGTTCCTTAAGTCACTTCACAGAAGTATATCAGTATTTTATGGACATCGCTGTACTTAATTTACTGCGATACGTCAAGAGCATTAAATCGCTCTTGCTGTAGTTAGTAACTACATTTTCTGCTCGCCAACGATCCTTTGTTACTTTTCGCATACACTCGTCTTGCTTTTCGTCGTATTAATACGGATACTAGTGTTGAGTCGGCTGTTGCAGGGCATCGCTAATAGATGCTAAAATACAATTTGCTGATAGATACGCGAACAGCCTTCGGAGGAGCAGATTTTAGCAGGAGTAGAGTATTAATTAACGTCGCACGATTCCATTAAAATGATGCGCTGTCTAAAGGATATATCCATTTATCGTTAATAGGCTATTTAGCGCGACACGTGGGATTTATCCGAGTATCATTACTCTTTGTGAAATTATAACCTTGTGAACAAACCGTGTTACATACGTAATGATCATGATTTTGCAATAGAGAATCAAATGTTAATTAATTATACTATTACTAATCGTCACAAAATTCATATATATTATAATTGTAATATATGCATTGTGATTATAGCAAATATAAGAAATATTGCTTTATTATAAAATTATCCTTATTTCTGTGAGTGCATATAATTATTTCAGCTTTCTCAGATGCGTTTATACGAATTTCTGTGTACATTTAACATGAATTTATTTCAAAATATATATTATATATTGTAGTAATCGATACCTTTATGTTATTAAAGTAGTGTCCATTGTTAGAGGTACCAATACTGTTTGAAGTTCTTCGAGGAAGTTTTATACGCGCAGAAACTGCTATATGTTGCAATTAATAGAGTCATTATTGGATGTGAAAGTAGGTTTAATCCTCAAGAGAACGTACTGAGACGTTTTTTGCGAATTCTAGCACTAAAGGGTTGCCTCTCATTCTTGGTCCAATTTCGCCAGCAAACCAGTGCGTATACGAAGCAATGAGATGAAATACCTCAGGGAATATAGGAGAGGTAGAGAATTCTGCAATACCTATATGACATAGAGAGGTAAAGAGACTTGCCGTTCGTTCTCTCTGAAGATCAACTTCTAGGCTATCGCAATATCAACTCTCATCGAACCCTATGACTTTTCGAATTGCTGATTGATTACGAGATTAGGATTGATCACATAAAAAAAAACACATGACTGTAATAAATCACATGTCCGAATGAATCATGTAGACGTAATCTTCATCCATCTCTACTTCTCCATTTCTCTAATTCTTTCTTTCTCGCACGTTGTGACCCTTAATGTGCAAAAACGAAGAAATAGCTTGAAAGCGGCCAGTAGGATGACAGTTCAGGAGGACCAGCACGATCCAGGGATTCACGCGAGACATTTCTCTCCTCCGCAAAAAATCTAGAACGTAGACGACGTAGTAGGACGTGTTAGAAATAAATTATATATTTAATATAAAATTTATATATTTAATATAAATCCTCTTGTTATACACAGCATCGTGTATCATATGGAATAACCAATAATTATCATGTTATGTAATGTATGGAATAGGCTAAAAATGTTTAAATTTTATTGTCTGTACTATACAACCTACAATTACGACCTGGATTAATCAATAAGTCGATAGGTTTAAAAAAATCTCTGATAAATAAGCTTGAAAGTTTTAAGAAATACTTTCTGTTTAGTATCATATAATTGTTAGTTATTAACAATTTTACTTTTTGAAGCGGTTTTCATATATTATATAAAATAACCAGTTCTTTTTAAAAAAGAATCGTGGTTTGTTCAAACTGTACGTTGTAGCTTAGAAAATTCACAAACCACATCTTTTTAAAATAAACATTTCAGCAGAACTAGATTTTTCCATAAATTTTGTCCTTTGTAGAATTGCATAACTGAGCATTCCGTGTAAAAGAAAAAATTAAACACGTGCCCTTTCTTACCAAGAAGTTCTTTCTACATTTCGCGTTTTTTTTTTTTTTTGCTTTTCTGTCGATTTTTTTCATTCTTCGACGAAACTAGCACTACTTCCCTCGAAAATACAAATAATGGATACGCCTCTTCATGGAATGTTACATCTCTACATAATAGTGCTTGTCAATGTACACAATCAGTTCATACGCAGATTAATCCGAGTAGTAATTTAGCTAGTCTACGAGTGAACCGCGAGATTTACTTGCCTTCGTATGCACTCATCAACATGTACATCTACATATCCATTTTACTTAACAATGCATCTGCGAGTCTCTCTCATAGAATTTCACATCTCGCCAGCGGCAAAACATATAAAGGACAGTAAATTTTTATAAAGTCAGCGTACAGAGCGAATAAAGTTTCTTTTATCGGTACAAAATAATAAGTATATAATTGTCATAATCACTCTGTGACTGATACCTTGCAAATCTAGCATTTCAGGAAATTTTTATCAAGAAAATATATTCGATAAAATCGATTAAGAAATACATGCTATGAGAAATAAGCAAGCATTTTAAGTACAACGTTTTGCATACAACAAGCATATCAAGGTTTCACTTGAGCGGATCTTGTATACAAGGAAACTAAAAAGCCGGTTTCCATACTGGCAAGACACAGTCAATCTCTCAATACAGAAATACGGAATTTTTTGCTGTTTACTGAAACGGTTTCGCTATTGATCGGTCGCAGCAGTTATTCGGTTAGTGAATAAAGTTTCGCCGACGAGGGATTCTGAGATGAGCAGAATCCTCGCGGGAGCGAATTTTTGCCGGGGACTTTGCGGCGCGTTCTTACCGGTGCACAAAGCCGCTGTGTTTACGTATATCTACATGATGCCTCTTTCACCCGGCCATGGCTTCGAGTAGTTGCATGTTGACAACGTAAGCAGTATAATGTATAATTCGGTATACATTCTATAATATAATTCAGCAAAGGATAAGTTGGGAGGAATATCATAAGAAATCGCCACATTATGAAAAACGTCAATAAAGATAATCTCGTGAGCTTTCGTAATGGAATTCGAAAATTTAAGCTCTACGTGTTCTTTAGATTAAATTTAGAAGTGTCTAAAAATTGTAAAAATATCTCAAAATGTAAATAATGTTCTTTGTAATTAATTGTATTTTTTGAAAATAAATAAAATCTCACTTTAATTTTTTATTGTATAATTCTTTTCTGTTTCGGTGAGAGATAAAACGATTTAAAATGTCAAAAATGTTTTCTTTTGACAGTTTTTGGAAAGATATATTATATTGTTGAATTAAAGTTCTTTCCTTTTTTTCTCAACGTAGTAAAATAATCTGTCGTATAAAAACTGCTCAAATAGGATTTATGTGGATATATTAGTGGATATTTATTTAAGTGGACGTCCCTGCCAATAGGTGACAGCACCTTATGAGGCAAACCACAGGAACAAGAATTCCAGTGAATTAATTTTTTTTTTATATGCCGGTTTCGCTGCAGAACAGATATTTAATCAATATTCATTGAAACTTGGCAAAATACAGTAAAATAAATCTCATTTGTATTATCGATGTAAAAAAAAAGAATTCTGCACGCTATAAATGCGGATCAGTCAATAAGGTTTTCGAATCTTTCAAAAAAATTAATGTATTAGCTTTGCAACAATCATATGTTTTCAATTTATTATTAAATTTACTCAATTTACTGTATTATGTATAATAATAATAATCAATATATTATTCGTTACTATTTTCTGGTAGAAATTCTCATTAGATTTGAACTACAAGTTAAATCGTTATTACTAAGTACAGATACCACAATATTTTCTCATCGTCATTGGAAGTCAGATAAACCGGTTCTCGTCAAGTGGTTTATGCAAAAAATAATATGAAATCTATAACACATAACTTTCTTTTTGAAAGCATGAGATGATCTTTTGTGGATGAACTAGATCTGATTTAGTTTTATATGCAGGGTTTAGTTAAAAAAAAATAAAATCTTCTTACAAAGAGTTCTTTAGAGCTCTACTTCGCTGCATTACTTCCGTGTTATAACATTACGAGTATAATAATATTATGTCTGTGTTAATTGACGTACATTTAACATTCTCTCGCTATTCAAAGTTAAAAGTTTAATGTAATCTGCAATGTAATTTTCGTAATGTATAGATCCAAACTAAATTTTTACAAGTCTAAAAAAAATTTGTATCAAAGTTATTTTTAATTTGTGCATAATTATTGCATTCATTAATCTAATTAATATCAAAAAATCAGTTTAATATATATATATATATATATTTAAAAAATAAATTTTATTGATGCTACATTTCTGTGCAAAATCTTAATAAATCTAAATAAATAAGTAAGCTATCACAATTTCAAGTATACGGAGTGATTTTAATTTTCTACTATATCGAAAACTTCGAGCTATTTTAATGAAACGCAACATGTAAATCTCAGAATTTTAGTTATTTGTAGAAGGAAAAGAAAATTTTTCCAGTATAAAAGGAATAAAAATTGAGGAAGCAAACTTGCCGTAAAAAGTATTCAAAACTTTCGAATAACTTCAGACGTGTCTGAAAATTTGCGCGAATTTGGCAGGCAAATTTGAGGTTCGCGTTCGGTGGTAGAGAGACCGACGTAAAGGTAGACGTGCGATAGGTCGCCCACTCACCTCGCTGCGCCGCAGGTAGATCCGCAGCCGGTCGAAGCGGACGAACGGGGGTTGCAGCACGACGGTTATATGGGTCGAAGTAACCGAAAGCACGAGGGTACTACGGCAAGACTTCCGTTGACGTAGACCGATGCACGGTTACTACGCGCGCCTCCCCGGTCACCAGTTTGGTTCTCCGTCCGCCAAGCGGGAAAAAAGGAAAAAAGTGGAGAAAAAGACAGAGAGAGAAAGAGATACGAGGCGGGTGAATAGAGAGAGAGAAAGAGAGACAGAGATAGCGTGTGCGATGCGGTGTGAGAGATCGAAGTCTCGTGGCAAACGTTCGTGGACTGAGTGAACCCTGAGTTCGGACTGAGCGGCGCTTAGGCGACGTTAGCGCCATACAACGGAGGGTGCTGGAATCATCATTGATCCGCCAAGGGTGGTATGGGAAGAACCCGTTAAGAGAGGGGTGTGGAGTGGGGATTGGTTGCTTCGTCGGCGGAGGGACAAGGATGAGCGGAGATAGAGACGAGGTTGCGGTAAGACATACCACCCACCACCACCACTACCACCACTACCACCACCACCACCTCCACCACCACCACTACCACCACCACCACCACCACCACCACCACCACTATCACCACTGCCACGATCGTCGCGCGGTAGCAAGGATTAGGAATGAAAGAAAGAACCGATGATGCGAACAGGGAAGAAGGCGGAGTGCAGAGCATAAACGTGCCGTTTTTACTCCCCTAAAATCTCGATCATTTTTGGTCTCTATCCATCCCTCTTTCTCTCTTCCTCGTGCCACTCTCGTCTTTTTCCCCTCGCCGTCACTACCCCTTCGTTCAATCTCCCTTACCGCCCACCGCCACGCCTCTCTTCTTATTTTCGTATCCTTCAGTCTTCTTCTTTGTCCCCCTCCCCCCCTCTCGCTCTCTCTCTCGCTTTCTGTATATACATGCATTTAAAATTATAAATATATGTTCTCATGCATAATTTAATTAAACGAAACCATCTCAAAGATGCTTCAGATTAGAGCAATGTTATTGGGGTCTAGAATATCAGCTCAGAATCGTTTTATCTTCTTTATTATTTTTATATAAACGTGGACTTTATCTCGTCTACCAATTTCGAAACATCCCTTCGGATCAAAGCGTGTTAACTGTCAACTGGCCAGATCATATTGGATTTTAAACTGCTTGTACGCCGATAGATGATTGGATGAACGTCAAGCACACCGCGGATGCACCAGATGCACAAAACAAAGAAGGGTTGAAACCCTTCCAGTGTGACCGGAAATTGTATAATTTCCTCGCATTCTGTACATCTATAATAGTTGCTTTGCCTTGAATACCGATGCTGACAGCATGCATATATACGGACGAAGCATCTACGGACTGACCCTCCCCCACCCTCTCTCTCTCTCTCTCTCTCTCTAAAATAAATCTAAAATATGAAATAAAACATTTTTGTACTTTATTTTCAACGAAAATGAATACGAAGATTGAAAAATTAATAATATTTCCTTTTAATTCTAGAATGACTTCTAAGAATTTTATATCATTAATAAATCTGTTTCATCAGAAACAAATCAAAAGAATGCGAAAATAATATTCCATTAATATAAAATATAAAAATAATCTCGATATTTTACACAATTTTTTTTATAATTTAAAATTATTTTATTTTATTGAATAAAATGTTATATCTGTTTTTATTTATTTATTTATATATTAATAGCCGTTGGAACAATTTCGACAATGAATGATACAATAAGATTATTAAAAAAGATTATAATAAAAAGTAATGTGATTAAACTTTCGATTATTAAAGCCATTTCTCTTGGAAACAAAATTTTATATGAAAATATGTTATATCTATTTTTTTAATAAAAATTTTTTATATAAAATTTCCTTTATACTATTAAAGGTCAAAGTTCAGAAACATTCTGTATAGCACAGCTATAAAACTATGTTTTAATTAAAAAACAACAAAACAATAGAAAGTTTGATTTTATGTACCATAATTTTCATGAAAAAATGAATGATGGTAAAGTGCTCAGAGATTTAGGAAAAAAGACGTCCTAGAACTCTCTTCGAAAATCTTCTCGATTCGTTGGTTGTACTAGTACGAATGACTTCAATATCCTCAAAACGCTTCTCTTTCGAGCATAATCTGATTTTGAGAAAGAGGAAGCAATCGACCGGCACCAAATCCAGTCAATGAACTGCATAAATGTTACCACATTGGATTTGTTTCAAAAAGCTGGAAAAGTCTTATACGTGATAAGACGCGGACAAATCTCGTATATCTTAATTTTTCATATTTTTCTTTAGAATTTATTAAACGATTTCTTTATCAATGTTCAATATTTTATTGATTATTCGAATCATAATTTATTAATTTTACACGACTAATCTACAGGTCTGTTTTTTATTGCTGCTTTCTAAACCAGTGTAATAAGTTGAAATGAAACAAATGTATATTTGTTTCACTTCAATTTATTGTACTGTGCGTACTAATTCAAAAAGTGCAACAATAAAAAACAGACCTTTTAAGTATTAATTCTTTTTTATTCCGTGATAAATGGCGCTCATTTTATTGTCGTCTTAAATGGATTTTCAATCTTCTTATAACTTTCATTTGATATCGTATCGTATTCTAAAACAAATATACTTTTTATCAAACTTTCTTTTATGTAACTTTTATTTAATAATATAAAAGCTAATTGCAATTAATAAAACAGAAATTCTGAAACAGAAATTCATGTCTCCACGTCCTATTATGTCTCCATGATGACAGCATTACCATTACATAATCATCCGAAGAATTCATTCTTGAAAAGTCAACATTTTTCCCTAAAGAAGCAATTAGCTGGCTCTTTTGGTTCGAAGATACTTTTGGTATTACGACCTACGGATTGTAACTCAACTATACTAGAATAGAAAAAAGAAGAAAAAGAAAAAAAGCAAAGGTCATCCGAAGAGAAAAATTAGATCTAACAAGTATTGCGAAGAGCATTTTAAAATACGACTGTATTACCTGCAATTTTCGCAATAATTAACAAGATATTAATTGCTAAAAAATGGCCGAAAATTAGTTTTCAATAATTTTTTACTCAAACACTATCAACTTTACAGAAAAACTGCAAGAGACAAAAAT